GTTGGACCCAGGGTTGAATGCTGATGTTCAGGCCAGCCGGTGCAGTGTGGTTTGTAATGTGTTTGTTGAGAATGGTCAACTGTCGTTGATGGTCATTCTTGTGGTGATGGAGTTCAACAAGTTTATTGAACATGGTGGTTGTGTTATTGGAAGTGATAGGTGGTTGAGGTGTGGTGGTGGTGATTTGGTGTGTTAGGGGGGTTTGTGGTATGATTGGTTGGGATGTGGTTGGGATATTGCTGGGTTGGCCCATGTCGGCTGGCAATGTTAGGGTGGAGGTGGTTTGGGCTGAGGTTGGGATGGCATTTGGGGACTGGATTGGGGTACTTGTAGGCTGGATCTGGGTGGAGGTTGTGGTTGTGTCCATTGTGTCAACAGGTGGGGTGAATTGTGGGAGAGTGGAAATCAAATTGGGTTGGTTGATATGGTGGATGGTGAGTCGGATGTTGTGTTGGTGAATAGGTTGTTCTCAAATTCTGGGTCTGATAGAATGAGCAAACGTTGTAGCCCCTCTAATTCAAATTGAAATTGAGTATGACTTTGGTCAGTGTCCATTTTGCAATTTGTCTGGATGGAAGTCTTCTAATATCCCGATAAATGGAATTGGGTTACAATATGAATGAATGTGTTGCAGTGTTTTGCCTGGACATGGACCTCATATAAGTCTTTGTGAGGTTGGATATAGAACAGGTTTGTTGATATGGTAAAGTGATTATGAATCTGTTAATATGTTTATTATTCGATTCATTGTTCAACCCATGTGGCCATTATTTATTAATTTACCAGGAGATCTCTCGATACTTAACTTTTTCCTGCCAATACATAGCAATTTGTTGTTTGTTTTTTAGAATTGGATCAAAAAGGTGGTTGCAGGTATTGCTGGAATGCTGTGAAATGGCCCTGCTGGAACATTCTATTGGGTGAACATCAAATGATGTGTGGAGTGAAATGAAATTTCGATTCAATGTGACTGATAGAATTGGAATGGTATAGATAATGATGATTTTAGTGAATTATGTTATGATGATGCGTGGACTGTGATGATGTTGGTGAAGCTTGATTAATAACATAGATATAAAGTGATGATACTGGTGATATATGAAATGTAAAATGATATGAAATATAAGTGATACATAAGTCTGAACATTCAAGCTAAAATGAGACATGAATAGTAAAACTGTGACGTGTATGACTCGATTGATTGTTTTTGTGAAGATCGCGCAGGCATAACCCGGGTGCGTTTATAATGTGAGATGTATTGTGATGATGCCAAGACCTGGGTGAATGCCAATGTATCGCCACCCAGGTCAAGTCCCATGTGTTTTGTGTTCAAAACTAAGGTTATGTTCTCATCAGGCTCCAAGCATAACCGGGAAAGCACGTTTCGACCCCGCTAGCTGGTCTTGGAACTACGTGCTTGCATATATATATTCATTTCTGTTCCTTTGATGAATTATACATGTTTTGCGCGAAAAAATCTGTTGATTATTTCGTCTAGGAACAGTGTGAATGTTAGTTGAATTTGGTATGTGTGCTTTGTGGTGGGTGAAAATTATATGATTCTAATGCGTGATGTGTTGTCTTTTGGTTTCGGAATGTCAAAATTGAAGTTTACTTACTCGTATAACTGTGGTGAACCGTACTCTGCGTGTAGGCAAGGCGAAAAGGAATTCTTGGGAGGAGAGGGGTTCTAAAATTACGCACGGGGGGGGGGGAAGACGAATCCTAAAATGTAGGGGGTTTGATTAGGGTGGGCTTAGTTAGGGTAGGGTTAGTTGATAGGGTAGGGTTTGGATTATAAGGGTTGGGAATAAGTTTTTGGATTAAGGTTCCGGTGGGGATTGGGTTAGGTTTGGGATTACTGCTCAGAATAGTGGATTGAAAAGTGTTGAATAGGGAGTGGGCCTGGGAAGTTTCGAGTGGGTTGGGTGTATCGATGTTGTGTGAATGTGTTTCTGATGAAAGTGGAAACATCGGTTGAAAATAATATTGAAAGTTGTTTCAAATGGATAGCGAAGGATATATTGATGTTTTGATAGCTTCGTGGCAGAGTTTGTGACAGAAGATTTTTTGCCACAAATTTGTCTTCCGTCTACTTCTCGTTCTTTGAAAGGTGAACGATAGTTCGAAATGGATGTGACGGTGGTGAGTGTTAAGTAGTGTGAACGCTCCGTGGCACAGTTTGTGACAAAAAGTTTTCTGCCACGAAATTTGTCTGTCATTTTTATGTTTTGATATTTGCTCTGTGGCCGTTGTTTGTTTTTTAGAATTGGATCAAAAAGGTGGTTGCAGGTATTCAGATCCTGGAATGCTGTGAAATGGCCCTGCTGGACCTGTTGGAACATTCTATTGGGTGAACATCAAATGATGTGTGGAGTGAAATGAAATTAAATTTCGATTCAGTGTGACTGATAGAATTGGAATGGTATAGATAATGATGATTTTAATGAATTATGTTATGATGATGCATGGACTGTGATGATGTTGGTGAAGCTTGATTTATAACATGGATATAAAGTGATGATACTGGTGATATATGAGTTGTAAAATGATATGAAATATAAGTGATACATAAGTCTGAACATTCAAGCTAAAATGAGACATGAATAGTAAAACTGTGACGTGTATGACTCGATTGATTTTATCTTAATATATATATATATATATTTAGATTGTATCTTAATAATATATATATATATATATATATATATATATATATATATATATATATATATATATATATATATATATATATATATATATATATATATATATATATATATATATAAATTTAGAGGTAAGCGAAATTCTATATTAATTTTGCTCTAGCTTTATGGTATTGAGCACTCTTTGCGTTTCGTTTACATAAACCTACTCGTATATATATTTATTATATGAGTATTGAATTTTATACGCGATAAAGTTGTCGAATAAAAACCATATGCCTAAAATTTCTGAGGATCTCATTGGACATACGACATTCGCCACTAGTGAAGAACGTCGTATTACTCCTGAGCCTTCTCATTGGACGTACGGAATTTGTCACTAGTGAATAATTTCGTATTTACTTTTCCCGCCGCGCCACTGGCGTACAAGAAAACAAAAAATCAGTTTTTTTAGATGTCCGTTCGACTTTTGATTTGAAATGGCTTCACGCTTCGCAGAGACACCATCCGTAAGCGAATTCATTGAACAACAGGAGAATAATAATACAAGAAATAAAACACTGCAGGACATTGGACTTCTTCAACAATTTCTATCGTCGAAAAATGAATTGCGAAGGATCGAGGACATTTCCGTAGAGCAACTTAATGAATACCTGAGCGAATTTATTATTTCTGTTCGAAAGAAAGAAGACCAGGGAGAATATGAACCTAGTTCCCTTCGTTCTATGTTTGCCAGCTTCGAGAGGTATTTGAAGAAAAAGAATGGGTTTAGTATCATGATGGATAAGAGCTCTGAACGTGCCCGAAAAGCTTTGCAATCAAAACAAAAAGAGCTCAAGCAAAAAGGAAAAGGGAACAAACCGAACGCTTCCGTTGCTCTTAGCGAAGATGAAGTCAAACTGCTTTACGAGAAAGAACTTTTGGGAATTTCGAGTTGCGAAGCGTTGCTAAACACGGTTTGGTTTAACAATACTATTCACTTCGGCCTTCGTGGTTGCAAAGAACACCGAGATATGTGCTGGGGCGACGTAAAACCACGCAAGAACGCGAATGGAGAGGAATATTTAGAGTATTTTGAGCGACAGACGAAAACACGTACAGGAGACAACCCAAGAGATGTTAGAAAAGTAACGCCAAAAATGTATGCTATCCCCACAAATTCGCCGGAAAAAGATCCTGTCTTTGTTTACAAGTTCTACGCAGAAAAACGTCCGAATGAAATGAATACAAACGAAGCACCGTTTTACCTCGCCGTAAACCACTGCAAAAAGGTTTCATCTGATAAGTCTTGGTTTAAAAAATCTGCTATTGGTGTGAACACACTAAATTCGCTGATGAAAAGAATGGCTGAGAAAGCTGGCCTTGGTCCAAACATCAGCAATCATAGCGGGCGAAAAACGATGATGCAAACTTTGACCAACAACGATGTTCCTCCCACAGACATAGTTCAACTTTCTGGGCATAAGAATTTGCAAAGCGTTACGAATTATTCAACCGTAAGCCAAAACCAGCAAATGAAAATGTCTCGAGCCTTAGCGAACTTGGCGACTTGCAAAGAGTCCTCCACTTCGAGTATTAGCGAACAAAAGCCAAACCGGGAAGTCGAACACCAACAACAACAACAAGCAATGGCTTTGTTTTCTGGCGCGGTAATCCAAGGAGGTCACATAAACATTTCGATAAACAGTTTAAATCAGTCTCCAGTAGCAGTGACAGAAGATGTGTCGCCACAAAAATACAAACGAATAAGATTAATTGAGTCTGATTCAGACTAAATGTTGTTGACGTCTAGATTTTGAACTTTGAGTGACATTTCGTTTCTAATACGTTACTTATTAAGCGCACGGACACGGTAATGTGACGGTACTTCATATATTGTTTACGTTTAAATTTTACTCAAAATACAGTAATTGTTTATCAAGTTTTTGAGCTTTGTAACATTGCAATGACAATTTCATTGAATAATTACGATTTTAAAGCGAAATAATTCAGTTGTTGTAGCTATTGTTGTACTTTTTGATGCATATTATATATGTTTGAAACGTTTGGTTTGAATTGTGTCTATCGTTCAGCACTTAAATTTCACTCTAATATATAATAACTCATATAATAAACAAATTACTTCATGGTTGATTCGCTTGTACGATTTTTATTATGCACTCGTTGCGAAAATTCCTATAAACTCGCTCGTTCGCTGCGCTCACTCGTTCGGTTATAGGAATTT